GGGACACCAGAAATGGGCTTCACACATTGTACCCATGTCGGGAATCGAACCCTGGTCTTTCAGTGTGAGGAGCAAACGCTTTAACCACTAGGCTACCCGACCGCCCCTTACGCCCTTGTAGAGCCTTGCTCAACCCATGCTTGCCGTAAAAGGTGACTATGCTTGTCGTAAAAGGCGACTAACGGGATCGGGTGGTCAGGCTCGCTGACTTGGTTGATGCATGTCATCGATCCCAATTGCGTGGATCGATCCTCATGCTATTAATCACTGTATTGTCTGGTCCAGACTCGATTATTTACAGACCGCCGTCATATAGCTGGAATATTGCTGAGTGCGGCGTAAAACAACCAACCAACTCAACCAGTGGTTTGATTTGCCTGCACTGGATTGTGTACAGGTTGTGAGAAGTGGCTTGAATATCACAGGGTAGAGCACCATTTAATGTCACAGTGTAGATCAAGTGTGAACACAGCTATAGAAGCAGCTCAATATTACATGTGGGGAATATGGAAGTTTTATGGCTGCTGCACGAGTTTATCACATTTTAATAACACTAAAACCATCACCACTTGAAACCCATGCTGCTTGGGGGTCTTTGTGGACAGAAATTCATCGGCTGTTTTAATGGGACTTGGAGATGAAAGAACAGTTAACGGGAAGGGCAGGAAGAGCATCAGATGATGAAGCAGGACCAGGGTAGTTGAGGTCAGCGGGGACAGGACACTATCTGCCCCCTCCATCCCCAAACGCCCCCCCCCCTTCACCCTGAGAGGGAGATATATCTTATCATGGGTATCAGCTCCTCCCAGCTCCAAGCCTGTAGCTGTCATCCCACTGGTCTGCAGAGGATGCTATCTATATGGGTGATGGGTGACCCCCTCCTGTATGACCCTTCCCTCCTTCAGTTGTCCATTACCCATCAGCCAGAGCTATCGGTATCATGAGATATCGCCCACACAAATGACCCCCATATAACCATCCCCCCATCCCCACCCCTTCACTGTCCATCACCCCAGTAGTCAGTAGTCCTAGCCATCTATATGAGATATTACTCCCCACCCCCAACCCCCCCCCCCCCCCCCCCCCTACACACACACACACACACACTGTGCATCACCCATGGTGGCAGCTGGTTGAGGTCTTGGATGCCAGCGATGAACATCCCAGAATGAGTGATTAGTGGTTTAATAGTGATGAAAAGTGATGTAATTAGTATTGGTGGATCTACATGGGATAATATAGCCGGAATATTGCAGAGTGCGGCATTAAATAGAGAATCTCACCTGAGTGTCTTGTGATATCATATGTATCAACACAGTTGATTAAAGTGGGAAAACTTCGAGGCCTGTCAAGTGTTGATGTGATCTCAAAAGACATGAGGGTGTGTTTTTATTTATCATCCAACATAATTCTTTTTCAGTTTGTAGACAGTAATATCCAGTGTCTTAGTGTAAAAAGTACTGCTAACAGCTTCAGTAGCAGAGCCATTAGTGATGTCATTTGATTGTGACGTCATGGTAACCAATGACAACACAATGGTCTGCAAAATGTTGTGATGCAATTTCATTGCAGCGATATCTTCAATGTAGATATCGCTTGATCTCACCCAAGCGATATCTCCTGTGGGAACCATATTATACTGACATATGATACACAGTATACTGACTCCGAGCCGACCAGTCCTTGTGTTAGCCCCTTAATGCCGAGGACCAGGCAGGGTAACAACAAGTACCACCTTTTAACGTTTTTTGGTATGAGGACTGAACAACCCCTAATTGTGGATTCTGATTAGTAAACAACATGATATCTTAGTGATCAACAAACGAATTAATGGATATGTTCCAATCTTCAATGCAAAATTTCATTGCAAACTCAGAATCGACAGTTTCACTCGTTTCAAGTATGAATGTCCTAAGAAACCTGTTTCAAAGAGGGAACAACCTGATACTGATATTTAGGAGTCTCCTATCGTGTCCTTTGGATCAGGCTATCAGTCTGGCAGTCACTTTGCAATGATTAGGATCAAGATTCATCAGCTTGCCAGAAGCCATCTTGGATTCAAGGGAGATAAGCCTGGGGAAGAGTCATTTAGTTTCTGTGTTATCTGTGAAATGTGAGACCTCGCAGTGATCTATGGCTGGGGTCTGTGTGAATGACACCCTGTGTAGATAGCAGTTTATTCATAGATCATGAGACCCATGAAGTTCCCGGTTAGAATATGTCTTCACCAACCCATGCTTGTTGTAAGAGGCCACTATGCTTGTCGCAAGATGCGTCTAACGGGATCAGGTGGTCAAACTTGATGACTTGGTTGATGCATGTCATCATATCCCAATTGCATGGATCGATGCTCATGACATCAATTACTGGATTATCTGGTCCAGACTCGATTATATATACAGACCGTCGTCATATAGCTGGATTATTACGGCGTTAAACAACAAACAAAAACAAAGATCATGCATGACCCGTTTGGGGGTGTTTAGTTTGCATAAAGACAATGTTTGATTTGATGGTGAATATTTTATATTCAAGAGGGGGCACGGGTGGTGGAGTCGTCTAAGGCGCCGCGAGAAACCTATGATTGTGGGTTCGAATCACGGTTCTCCCCGATTATGTTTCTAGGTTTGTCAGCACCATACCCGTGCTCGTGGGTTTCACCGAAGTGGTAAACGTCTGGGACCTGCATCACTTCGAGCCTTCCTCCCACATGAAGCTGACACGCCGTGATATAACTGGAATACTGTATAATGCGGCGTAAAACCCAACTCACTCACTCACTCACTCATATTCAAGAGACAGTCAATGAATTACCTGTTGGTAATGGCAGATTTCTGATAAATGCAGAAGTGGTTATACAGGTGGTTTCTGATTTGGAATTTAAGTGCATTTTGTAATAGGAAATGGACCACATCTGGTTTGGCTGATAGCTTGTGGATGTGAGATAAGGACCAACAAGATACTTGATTCATCCATTAGCTGCTCTTAACGATTCAGGTTACCATGGCAGGATTAGAGAATCTCGGGCCACTTCATCAGTACCTGTAATCAGGCTCCAGATTCATTAGCTGTTTTAGCTGCCACATCACTTACGTCATGTATGACCGACCCGTGAAGATCCGGGGTTAGAATAGGTCTTCAGCAACCCATGCTTTCCGTAAAAGGCGACTATGCTTGTCGTAAGAGACGACTAACTGGATCGGGTGGTCAGGCTCACTGACTTGGTTGATACATGTCATTGGTCCCAATTGCGTGGATCATGCTAAGATATCATGTTGTTTGCTAATCAGAATCCACAATTTGGGGTCTTTCAGTCCTCTGGTCGAATCATACCCAAAAACTTTAAAAGATGGTACTTGTTGTTACCCTGTCTGGCGCTCGGCATTAAGGGACTAAAACAAGGACTTGTCGGCTCAGAGTCAGTATACTGTGTCTGAGTGGGGTATTCATGTAAAACTGCGGCATGGTATCTCAGTGGGCTAGCACTATAAATCGGCATCAGTCCGGACTAGTACAAGCAGCCACACACACACACACACACACACACACACACATGCATGCAAGTCGCTATATAAGTACAATAATCTTGGAAGCGACATTAAACCCCATTTCACCTCACCTCACCACACCTCACCCCAGTGCGCCCCCCCCCCCTTCAGTGTTATTCACTCACCATTCGTCATGTCAGTCTGTAACACTGTACCCCTCTCCTGCAGCTGTGCTCTCATACTCTCATAACACTATTCAACCTGTAACACTAATTAGGGCCCCAAGGAACACACTACGAGGCAAATACGATTCATATCACGAATATAGGGAAATGAATACGAATATTAATTCACAAATACAATAACAAGTCAGCAGTTGATGTATTATTTGTTATTATCAGTGAAGCAATAACAACATAAATTACTAGACATGGTTTGTTAATTATTAATATATTACATATTTATGAACAGCACTTATCCAGGTACTAGTATCTGCTCAAATGCGACAATGACCAGTGACCACAGTACTGTCAAATTAAATATTATAAGAGCGTTGTCTTTGAAGAAATCTATATAATAATACTTTCTTAAGGATAATTTTAGGTGCAGGGTATGTAAATGCACATGATTGCATATTCATAAATATTCAATTCTTCACTTGTTTGATAGGCATTACTTAGAAGTTGGCGGATGACAAGATAGACACAATTTTATGGATAACAACTTCTTTAATACTGTAAAAAGCGACGTTTCGGTATAGATCTATATATATATATATTGACAACGGTATAAGGATCTATACCAAAACGTCGCTTTTAACAGTATTAAAGAAGTTGTTATCCATAAAATTGTGTCTATCTTATTCAATTCTTGTGGCCACGAATTACGAATTAAATTCATGAATGGATACTGTTCGATTCACCGAATACGTGAGTGAATCATAACAGCCCTAACCCTATTCAACCTGTAATAGGGGCAGTCGGGTAGCCTAGTGGTTAAAGCATTCGCTCGTCACGCCGAAGACCCAGGTTCGATTCCCAAAATGGGTACAATGTGTGAAGCCCATTTCTGGTGTCCCCCACTGTGATATTGCTGGAATATTGCTAAAAGCGGCGTAAAACCATACTCACTCACTCACTCAACCTGTAACACAAATCAACCGAGATGTGAAGATCCGGGGTAGAATAGGTCTTCAGCAACCAATGCTTGCCTTAAAAGGCGATAATGCTTGTCGTAAAAGGCGACTAACGGGATCGAGTGGTCAGGCTCGCTGACTTGGTTTGATGCATGACTTTGTATTCCAATTGCGTGGATCGATGCTCATAATGTCAATCACTGGATTGTCTGGTCCAGACTCGATTATTTACAAATCGCGGTCAAATAGCTGGATAGTGCTGAGTGCGGCATCAAACAAACAAACACTAATCAACCTGTAACACTGATCAACCTGTTACACTAATCAACCTGTTACACTGATCAACCTGTTACACCGTACCACACTTTCTGTTGCAGCTCTGTTTCTGCAAGGGCGACATCATCACTGTCACCCAGGCTCTGGAGGAGGGATGGTGGGAAGGCACTCTCAACGGCAAGACAGGATGGTTCCCCAGCAACTACGTCAAGGAAGTTAAAGCAGGTAGGACTGGCAATTCTGTGTGTCACAGTTAGGAGTCACAATTACCATTAAGATCAAGGTCATCAACAAAATCGTTTTAGTAAATGAAGAAATCCTTGCAAAATACAACCACACACAAAAAATTCTTTTGAAAATTGCGATGCTGCTAAAACTAGGCCAACTGCTGTATCTAGGTCATGTTTGTATGTACATGTATGCACACATGTTTGCTATGTGGCATGTATGACATCCTGATCTTGATCCTGAAACACCAGCAGGGCTCCTCAACACAAACACTTTATCCCAGCAAGTTCACAGTCCAAATATACAGGAATGTAGGCATTGGGTCCACTTACCAGATCATGTGGTCCAGTTGCTGAGGAGGTTATCTTCGACTTGAGAGCTTCATCACTGAATGAATCCTATAGATACTGTTTACCACGCACTGAAAATGTTGTGCCCCCCAAAAAACAAGTTCAAATTCATGTGTGACCAACCATGAGATAAGGGACCTGATAGGTTGACTTCTCATTATATTTTAAAACCAGAGTATCTTGGGAACACAAAACTACAATTCACAAGGTCCGACTGTGAATTTGTTACAGAGATACAAGCAGAGCTCCAGATAAGTTTTTGGTGTTGTGGGTATTTTACCCATGCAATTTAAAATCATTGGGTATCAGTAAGTCTATCTGGGTATTCAAATTCAGGGCTTGAAATTAACCGTATTTTGCGTGCCATCGCACGCCTAAAATGAAAATGGCACGGCTAAATCATGATCTTCGTGCCTCGATGGCACGCTTGGAAAATAGGAATTAATAACCTAACTTTGCCATATAAGGCATATTTTAATGATAAATATAAATCTCGTCAGCAATAAATTAACTCTTTCAACACTGTAGGCCGGTTTTCTGGCCAAGAAGCATCGAGTCCCCAGACGCCGTCAAAATGGTATATATTTTTATGGACCTACATGTTATATCATTCATTTAATAAATCTGTCACATTTCAAAATGTCTGAAATACATATTCCATTTCAATTTATCATTTTTTATCGATAAATTAAAAATTATTCACTATTTCCCACGATGTTATTGAAAATAAAATTCTCAGACACACATTTCGACAACGGTTCCACATCGAACATGTCAAAGAGCAAAATAAAGACGTTTTAAACAAATCTTTTAATATATTATAGAAAGTAATAAATAAAATCAACAAAAATATATCTAAAAGTAATCAAAATTACATCTAAGTTAGTATTTCCATTCTTTCATGCGATCGTGTGTAATGTAAGTCGCCTTGAATTCTCGGCTCGGACACGATGTTTAATGTAAAAATATATGCATGAAAAATCTTTGTCACTGCTTGTAACCTAGCACGATACATTCACAAAGTTCCATATTTTTAATATATATCGTGATTTCCTGCTTAAAACGTTCAGAATAACACGATTTAACAAAAATCTTTCGCCAACTTCTGAAATTTATCAAACACGAACTTGGTATCACAGCTGTAATTTGATTGGCTGCCTTATGTCACATGCTCAAAATTGACCAATCACGAAACTTGTAGCAGATTTCGGCAAGAAAGCGTCATTAGAAACCAATTTTAATCCAATGAAATCTCTTGTTATAACTACGGAAAAAAACCAGGCGATGTTACGAGCGGGTAGATGAAGGAATAAGCTTTCCAGCGATGTGTCATATGCCATTCTTCGAATGTGTTATTCATACGAAGCCTCGAAAACGGGGGTATTTCTTCATGTTACTGAGCGGTCAGACGCTGTTACCGGGAAATGGGTGATGACAGAAACTAATTATAATTCTTTTAAAAATGAATTTCCAATTACGTAAACAATGAAAATAAAACAGAAATAGGTAGATCTAAGTGGATTTTACTTCAGATGGGGCTTGTCTGTCACAGTCATTAAATGGAAGTCAGTAAAGTAAGTTTGTAACTCACTTTAACTTGAATAAATCACTTACTATTAAGATCACGTATATCTCACTTACTTACAATTACATGAATTTATTAACATTTTGATTGAACTACTGACAGAGAGACACAAATAAACAACAAACACTTTAATGGTTGTTAAAAAATTTAATGCTGAAATGTAACAAATAATTGGCTGGGCACCCCATGATTTCCCAAGGCACACCTAAATTTTATACCTTGTGCCTTGTGGCACACTTGGCAAAAATTGCATTTCTAGCCCTGAAATTCCTGTTACCCACTAGTTTTTACACATGTTGGTATTTAAGTTAAATAATTTAAAACACTATTCATCTAGTCCCTGCAAACTGGTGTCCTGTGGGTTTGAGAGCTTGATAGGATTAAAAAATACTACGATACTTCCACAAGAAAGTGTGATGGCAAAGGATCGTGATGTAACTGTCATCGTGGTTGACGGAATGCCCGTTTATAATTTCTAAATAAGTTTCTGATTTGCTAATCGAATACGCAGGGTTACTTCACAATATTTTGATGATACGCACAAGTTTTATTTTTGTAGCGTATCTGTAATGTCGTTGCATATTTGATATGCTTGGATTTTATTTTACTGCATATTTCTGCAGTTCTGATGCGTATTTTACGCAGATACGCAGCTTATCTGGAGCTCTGGACAAGGCATCAACATTTGAACTCATTTTCTACAAAGTCCCATTTTCAGATAACTATTTATGTAATAATTGCAGTTATATGAATATAATATCTGAATAATCAAACAATAGACATGTATGCTGAAATGATTTAAGATAATGTTTTTATAACATTATGACCGAACATGGCGATTTTTACAGAAGTAAGTTGACATCGAACATCTTTGTTTATGATGTCACAGCACAATTGTATTCTAGCACACATAAGGTCCCTTTTCTCCTGGTGGGCCACAATACTACAGTGTGTGTCTCTGACCTTTACAGCAGTAGAAACTAACATTTCTAGTCCACCAGTCCCTATAATGATAACACTCAGCAAAACCAACTCTTAAAAATGTCAAATTTCTACTAGTCCTTATAATACCTTAACTATTGGGCAGTTTGGCAAGGACCATAGGACTAGTGCCAATTTCTAACGCTGCCTTTAACTCGCTCATCAAGATCCTTGTAGGTATGTAGGAGTTTTTGTATTTAGTGCTTTTTAATTCATTTCTTCTTGTAAACAGATCAGGGACTGCCTCCGTGGTCTAGTGGTAGGACCCCATTTCACCTCGAGCAAATAGTTCAGGTTATGTTACGTCTGTTTCCAAAGACAGCCATTGTCGACAGGTTCAAAGAAATATGTGCACTTGTGCTTCCTCCTTCCATCAAGCACCTTGCCCCAGAATCCCCATCAATGTGTTTCCCATTGCCCTGGAATAGCTGTGTAAATATTATCACCTGACCCAGAACAAACACAGCTTGTCAGAGGTGTGAACATCTGCAGACAGTGTTACCTCTTGCCATCTGAAAGTCTGTCTGACCTTACTCCCTTACTCCCATACACATGACCTTACTATGGTAACAGATACCATCTGACCTTACTCCTGTACACAAGCCTGTGTGACCTTACTCCCATGGTACTCTGGTACATGGAGACCGTCTGATCTTACTTAGGTACACAGAGAGCATCTGATCTTACTCTGGTACACGGAGACCATCTAATCTTACTCTGGTACACGGAGACCATCTGATCTTACTCTGGTACACAGACACCATCTGATCTTACTCTGGTACACGGAGACCATCTAATCTTACTCTGGTACACGGAGACCGTCTGATCTTACTCTGGTACACAGACACCATCTGATCTTACTCTGGTACACGGAGACCATCTAATCTTACTCTGGTACACGGAGACCATCTGATCTTACTCTGGTACAGGGAGACCATCTGATCTTACTCTGGTACAGGGAGACCATCTGATCTTACTCTGGTACAGGGAGACCATCTGATCTTACTCTGGTACACAGAGACCATCTGATCTTACTCTGGTACACAGATACCACTTGATCTTACTCTGGTACACAGAGACCACCTGATCTTACTCTGGTACACGGAGACCATCTGATCTTACTCTGGTACACAGAGACCATCTGATCTTACTCTGGTACACAGAGACCATCTGATCTTACTCTGGTACACGGAGACCATCTGATCTTACTCTGGTACACAGAGACCATCTGATCTAACTCTGGTACACAGAGACCATCTGATCTTACTCTAGCACACGGAGACTATCTGATCTTACTCTGGTACACGGAGACCATCTGATCTTACTCTGGTACAAGGAGACCATCTGATCTTACTCTGGTGCATGGAGACCATCTGATCTTACTCTGGTACACGGAGACCATCTGATCTTACTCTGGTGCATGGAGACCATCTGATCTTATTCTGGTACACGGAGACCATCTGATCTTACTCTGGTACACGGAGACCATCTGATCTTACTCTGGTACACAGAGACCATCTGATCTTCCTCTGGTACACAGATACCACCTGATCTTACTCTGGTACACAGAGACCACCTGATCTTACTCTGGTACACGGAGACCATCTGATCTTACTCTGGTACACAGAGACCATCTGATCTTACTCTGGTACACAGAGACCATCTGATCTTACTCTGGTACACAGAGACCATCTGATCTAACTCTGGTACACAGAGACCATCTGATCTTACTCTAGCACACGGAGACTATCTGATCTTACTCTGGTACACGGAGACCATCTGATCTTACTCTGGTACAAGGAGACCATCTGATCTTACTCTGGTGCATGGAGACCATCTGATCTTACTCTGGTACACGGAGACCATCTGATCTTACTCTGGTGCATGGAGACCATCTAATCTTACTCTGGTACACGGAGACCATCTGATCTTACTCTGGTACACAGAGACCATCTGATCTTACTCTGGTACAGGGAGACCATCTGATCTTACTCTGGTACAGGGGGACCATCTGATCTTACTCTGGTACACAGAGACCATCTGATCTAACTCTGGCACACGGAGACCATCTGATCTTACTC